AGATGGCAGCGCAGCTGCCCAACTGCTTCCACCTGACAGGCAGGAGTCTGTCAGTTTTAGACACAATCCCAGTGGCTACGGACCTGGCAACAAAAGGGTTAAAATTTTGGCGGGTGCTAAGCTCCACCACATGTAACCAGTTACAACTTTTGTGTGGATTTCCGCATAGTGGCAAAAGCTACAGGGGCAAAGTTAACAAAACAGGGGCAGCCAAAATCTGGCGCTGTTTTGCATGGTAACCAATTAGCTTTTATCTTACGTTTGTTCAGTTAAGGTTTGAAACTGAAAAATAGCAGCTGATTGGTTGCCATGCACAACTGCTGCAGATTCTAGCTGCAGCAGTTTTGATGAATTCCTCTCAGGTTCTTTTAACACCTAGTGCAATTTTTCCTGCGTCTGATGTTATGCTGCAGTGCTTGACAATGGAAAATCATGTTATTCTCTGTGGTGGCCATTTACATCAATACAGCATTGTGATTTTTGAAAAGGTGCAGTTGCTTCTTTTGGGGCAGCATAAGTACATTTTTGGCCCCATAGACTTCAGTAGGAGGTCATGAAAAATGCATGTACATTTGTTTTGGCAGGGTTTTGTGTTTAATCGCTTCAATACTGGGCACTTTTACCCCGTTCCTGCCCAGGCCAATTTTCAGCTTTCTCCGCTGTCGTACTTTGAATAACTATTGCTTGGTCATGCAACACTGTACCCAAATGAAATTTTTAGCACACAAATAGAGCTTTCTTTTAGTGGTATTTTAATCACTCTATTTTTTGCTAAATATACAAAAAAAGATCAAAAATTTTTAAATTTCAAAAAATGTAGGCCAAAATTTATTCTGCTACATTTCTTTGGTGAAAATAACCCAAATCAGTGTTTATTATTGTTTCTGCAGGAAAGTTATAGAGCCCACAAACTATGGTATACATATCTGAAAATTGATCATTCCTGATGTACTGATGGCCTATCTCATTTCTTGAGGCCCTAAAATGCTGGTTGCATTCACTATATAGGGTGTGACAAGCTTGGTAGGAACATCCTGTGTTCAGTCTTTGGTCACCATTTGTTTAAAAAATTTAAAGGGACAGTTTACGTCCCAAAAACATCTTCTGGAGGCATTTTGCAGTATACTAATTTTTTTTTTTTTTGGTATTTTGATGTGTTCCAGCACATTTCTGTGTAGAAATTATTGCAGCAGGGTCTAACATATTTTCTTTCATGTGAAATCTGAAAGAATTGATGTACCAGGTCCATTTGAGTACCGGGAAAATGCTTTGCATGCATTTTTCATGATGAAAAAAGGCTCTGGACAGCATCTGGAAATGGAAGTTAAAAAACACTTATAAACGCAAACGCTTATAAACGCGGTTAGGCGTGTTTACAAGCATTTGAATCGCTGATAAAATCTACTCCTGAACGCAAGATTGTTGCGTTAAAAAAAAACGACTGTAAATTCAACTGCCTGTAAACAACATAGTGTACATGGACTCAAAGGAAAACATTAGGGTGAGTTCAGGGGCTGCTGAAAAAAACTCAGAAAAGCTCCTAAATGTGAGTTTATCAGCTGCAGTGTACATGAGCCCTAATACAAGTAGAAGCACGTCTAAGGCTTCATGTACACGAGCAGCTGCTAAACTCGAGTTTAGGAGCTTTTGGTATTTGTTTGTCAGAGCTCCTAAACTCAACTCCATAAAAGTCTGTGTCCATGTACACATAGGCTTTTAGCAGAGTTTAGGAGCTGCCACGTTTAGGTGAGGTTAAACCTCCGTCTCCTGATCACGAATGAATCACGTTCAGGATAGGAACGTTTTGACCGCCGAAAATGCAAAACGTGGTAAAAACGCTGCATAACTCAGCAACCGCGGTACCGTGTTTTTGCAGCGATTTGCGTTTCCTAGCGGCCGGCGGTCAGAGTAGGCTCATGTACATGAAGCCTTAGCAGTAGTTAATGCCAGGATGGCACAATGAGCAGTAATTTTGTTTTTCAGAAACATGATAAGTGTTTCAGAAATCGCAGAAAAAGTATATTATGTGATGATTTAGATGCAAGCTGTATGTAGGGGTTACTACAAAGCTCTTTTCAGAATCCTCTTTATATAACGTAGGTATGCTGCACTATTGCCATACAGCACTGTGTGGTTTTCAGCTGCTGGCCAGTGCCGGTTCCCTTTTCCTATTCCTTTTATCCTCAGCAGTCCCATTTGCCTTCCATTAAAGTGTTTTGTGGAATTGAAGCACATTAGATAACGTGGGTGATGGAATAAGCCAGTGATTGATGTACAGCCCCAGTTCAGTTAGCAGCTAAGTGCTTTCAGTAGAACGCCAAGGCTACTGAATAATGCATGAGACACAAGAGCTATGTTGCATATAAAGGGTTAAAGTGGAACTTCACTCTTTCAATCATCATTGACTGTTTTTAATTCTGATGCTGCTAACATTAGTAAATAGATAGGAAAGTATATCATATTTATTTGTTTTACACTTTTTGTGGACATTTCTTCAGTTAGTTCCTGGTTTCCAGGCCTAGGCAAATGATATCCTACATCTCAGGAGGGGAGAATGCGTTTTCTCAGCTAAGCACACCCTCTTGCCTGCATGCCTGCGCTAAGGGCAGATGGATTCCAGGAAGTAAATGCTACACGAATCATCTGCTCTTACTCAAAATGGCCACAGCCAGAAATGCTGTGGTAAAATGATGCTGCACTGCTCCTTTCAGAATTCAGAGAAGCATTGCCACTCTCACGTAGACTGCGTATGGTTGGATGGGTGGGTTTGCTTTTGAATATTAAAAATGACTTAAATAGTGTTTTCCGTTTCTGGTTCTTAGATGCAGTGTAGTTCCGCTTTAAGGAAATGGTACAGTTCCTGTTAATAGGAACTGCTTTTCACAACTGTCAAAGACAAGTTGTGTGGAGGCAACCTGACAGCTTCATTGGTCAAAGTCATTAAAAAACGGTGTCTGTTTAGCTTAAAAGAACCAATCAGATTTATAGATATAAAGGTTTGATACTTGTTAGATTTCATTAGAATATTGAATCAGTCATTTTCCTCAAACAAGCAAGTATGTACATCTTCAGCACAAGGTTGAGAAAAGTCATTGTAGGTGAGGCTTTGGAAGCCCTTTGCTTTTTTCCTATAGGGAAATGTTGGTGGTTGCTGTGATATATTAGACATTGTTTCCATAAATGTCTGTCATAGGATTTATGATGTCATGACATGGACATTTTCAAGGTTAACTCCAATCAGTGCAGAAATGTATCCTTTACAATGTGCAGATGATTGGAGTGTAGGATATGAAATCCTTTCTCCTGCTTCCTGCTGTGTCATGCTACAGCTTCAGTGTGCTGGTTCTGAAGATCTGTAGGCACAGTGTGTTGCTTCATGGGCTCTCCTACCATTCATCTTGGCACTCCCTGAAAGCTGGTGACATGGCAGGGGTGGAATCAACTGCTGTGAATGATCTGAGGATGGTACATTAAAGCTGCACATATGTGAATCATTGGAATTTAACATCTTACACTCGATCCGTTAAGACTGCTTGGGCACTTGTACCTACAGTAAAACTTGTAATAAAAAACTTAGCTATAGCTACAAGGAATATCACCTAAATGTGCACCGTTTAAAAGATATTCACCTTTTTTGGAGTCGGTGATGTTACCAGCGCATACACTTTGAGTGGACAGCATGCTCACTGTGTGCATGTGTGAGTGATGTCATTGAGTCTCAGCCATTCAAACAGCTGGAGCCTGCGAACCCGGAAGGAAGACCGGGTGAAGATGGAAGCCCTGTCAGCAGTTACAGCTAGCCGCTAAAGGGCTTTATTTTAAGGGAAGTCTCTTATAATGTGCTAGCAAGTGATGCCTATGGAAGACACAGCATCTGCACAGACACAGTCACATTTCAAAATTTGACAGATGTGCAGAAGCCAGTATGTGGCCCCGAATGCACACTGTGTTCAGGGCCATACACCCACTGACCAATCATAAGAAATCTAGCCCATACCATCATCCCTGCAAGAAGAGTAAAGAAAGCTGCAGGGATTTCAAATCCCCAGTTTTATAAAGCAGCTTTCTCTCCTCTCCTTGCAGGGATGACGGTATGGGCTAGATAGCTAATGATTGGTCAGCACTGTGATGGTGCTGCCCAATCCAAAGCTGTCTAGCCCATACTGTCATCCCTGCATGGAGAGGAGAGAAAGCCATGGGGATTTCAAATTCCCAGACCTGTGAAGTGGGGATTGGTGCAGGCAGGTTTTCCCAACGCTCCTGTATTCTGTGATGAACCTGGGTCCACACAAGAGCAGTGTGAAAACTGCATGCGATTTGGACATAGATTGCACCACATTCCTGTTCAAATCACATTCTTATTCTTTGTGGTACTCTGTATCGGTGAGTACTTGACCAAAAGTATTGGTACTCGCCGATCAAAAAAGGGTATCGGTGCATCCGTAATAGTAACTAAAAACTTCCTTTTACCTTCCCTGACTGAGCCAAATCCTCTTACATTTGTGTCAAACGCTCCCCTCCCAGGCACTGCAGATCACAGTGGGAGGGTTTCAGTAATGCAGACAATTCTGTTAATTCATAAAGTGATGGGCAGTATTAGGTACGACCTTGTGCTGATTGACAAGTTTCAGGCTTATGATCCAGCGGTGACAGTGCTGATAGGCACACCCCCTGCAATCATTTTCCATCGCACTGTAGTACAATCATACACGGTCTACATGAGAGTGGCAACTCTGCTCTGAATTCTGAAAGGAACAGTGCAGCATCATTGCCACACTATCACAGGAAGCTGCATTTGATGAACCTCATGGGCAGGCAATTACACAATTTTCAAAATAATGCTTAGCCATGATTGTAGAGCACATCTTGAATCACATGGTTAAAATGCTGCACTTCAGTTTTAGCCCTGGCTTCATGAAGTCGGGGATTTTGGTGACCATGCTGTATGTAACCACGTTTTTAATATTTACGTTTCTAAACCTGGTATTTGTTTACTATAGTTACAGAATGAAGAGGAGCCTGTAGAAAATCCCCAGGGTGCAGCTGATGCACCACCTCCATACAGCAGCATTGCTGGAGACAATGCAGGTAAGTGATATATTTTATTCACTTCAGAAATACATGAAAACTTCAGTTTAGCAGCATGCAGGCATGTGTCACCTCTTGCTTGTTAAGCCTTAAACCATCCAGATTACCACTGGATTAGTTGTCTCCCTTGTGAATGCAGGCCACGTGTATTCAGCCTATAACTCCTTCAGCTGCAGTATGCAAAGAATCTCAGGCAAATGACATGCATACCCAGGCAGTAGTAGCAGCACTTTTTTTTTTTTAATTATCAAGAACGTTTTGTAATATCAGTAGGAAAGCTGTTCATGTAAGTATGCATGAGGTTTATCATAATCTACTGCTCTCTGATCCTGTTCTGGGAATGGAAGCAGAATGTCTCCTCTGGTATTGTTCCTCCAGTAATGAACTAAATTGGTGCACTGGTAAAGGATAGGTTCACTTTTTAAACATGTTACACCCATACTTAGGGTGTGACATGTTCACACAGAGCCCCTGTCTTCCCACCTCCCCCTTCCCTGTGACAACTAACAGCCACGGTCACAACTGCTTTTCCTGCACAGCTGCGTCATACATTCACTGGAATCTTCACAGAAATGTAATCTCCAAACACTGAAAGGTTTCTTTACAGTGAGAGCTGTGAAAATGTGGAATAGACTCCCTCAAGAGTTGGTTCTGCCCAGTTTAGTAGCTTGTTTTAAAAAAAAGGCCTGGATTGTTTCTTAGATACACAGAATATAACAGAATACTAATATTTTTAGGTAAAGTTGATCCAGGGAATATCTGATTGCCTCTCAGGGGATCAGGAAGGAATTTTTTTCCCTGCAGGAGCCAATTGGATCGTGTTTTGCTGTTTTTTTTTTTTTTTTTTGCCTTCCCCTGGATCAACTGTGGGTATAGGATTATAACTTTTTTTTTTTTTAATGGTTGAACTGGATGGACTTTTGTCTTTTTTCAGCCAAAACTAATTATGTAAGGCCACCACAGTTGATGACTTGTAGTTTTCAATGGACTGAGAGTGCACTAATGACACTGACACTTATTGACACTTTCAAACATAAACAGCTTTCAAACAGTCTGTACAGAGGTACGGGCAAGACAGCTGTAAGCAGTGTCTGCAGGAGCCTGAAATTTCCCCCCGCAATCCATTGATCAGGGGTGCAATACTCTGCAGACTTTTGTGAAAAAAATAATAAATGCACATTTGTTTTCTACAAAAATGTGTGTTATTTTTTTCAGAAAGGTGACCTTTAAGGCAGATTCAAATGCTGTTTGCTGTGTTGTGCTCCCTCATAAGTAACTTATCCATTGAGTTTTTTTTACATTGGCATATTTGTGGGGATCTTATTATCTTTCACAATCTCTACATTTTATTGGGTGAACTGGCTTCTTCATTGATACAAATTAAAACACTAAACATTTTATTGAAATTGAAAGCCCCACTCCAGGCAGCTGTTAAATTTACCCATTCAGCACGGTCCCCTCCTTAACCACTTCCAGTCCGGACACTTTTACCCCCTTCCTGTCCAGGCCAATTTTCAGCTTTCAGCGCTATCAAACTTTGAATGACAATTGCACGGTCATGCAACACTGTACCCAAATGAATTTTTTACCATTTTTTTGAGACAGATAAAGCTTTATTTTGGTGGTATTTATTCACCGCTGGGATTTTTATTTTTTTTGCTATGTAAATGCAAATGTCCAAAAATTTTGAAAAAAAGTATTTTTTTAATAAAATTTTGCAAATAAATAATATTTCATCATAAATCTTTGCCAAAATTTATTCCGTTATCTTTTTAGTAAAAAAAAAAATCCAAATTAGTTTATATAACCAAAAATTATAATTTGTAAACATTTTTTTTTTACATTTTTATTTTATTTTTTTATATTATTTTTTAAATTTTTTTTTTTTTTTACATATTGTCATTTTAGCAGTATAGTGTCACCATGGTGACACTGTACTACTTGTGGGGGGTGATGAAGATTTTTTTTTTTTACACATTGCTTTTACACCCATATAGGATGTAAAAGCAATCATTTCTCTTTCTCTCTGTGTGCATTATTGCACTCATTGAGAAGTACTGAGTGAGCTGTGATTGGTCACAGCTTGTCACATGGTACAAGGCTGTTGTGAGTAGACTTGTACCATGTGACCTCTGTGATCATTCACAGATTTCAGACGTATAAGCAATGATGTCAAAGTGACATCTTGCTTACTACTTTGCATGTGATCACTGATTGGCCAATCAGTGATCACATGAAACCTGTACAGAGGTCCCGTCCGACGATCGGTGTTTCACTGTGTCCGGAGGACACAGCGGGCACCGGATCGCGGTGCTGCGCGCTCCGAGGGAGCTCGCACAAGCAGGGTGTGGGGAGGCCGTTTATAAACGGCCACCCGACCCTGCAGCACCGTCCGGTTTATATGCAACGGCCGGTCGGGAAGTGGTTAATAGTAGGGTTTAAACGCTCATTGAATAGGGGGAAAGGAATAATCCCATTTTATTAGCTCTTTTCATAGCTTGGAAAGTGACAGTTTCTCTTTAAAGACTTTTTGCAGCATCAGAAATAACATGTAACAATGTCTTAAAATTGTCTTTTTATATTTTTTTTGTTTATATTAAACAGCATTTTTTGACTACAAAGATGAGCCTGGTTTCCCCAAGCCACCATCTTATAATGTGGCAACTTCCTTGCCTAGTTACGATGAAGCTGAAAGGACTAAGGCAGAAGCCACAATACCTCTTGTTCCTGGACGAGTAAGTACTCTTTGTGTCAGTATCCAAACTTGTTTTCTGCAATTTATATTTACAGAGCTGGGATTAAAGACGAACTCCATTGAGATATACTATACATTCTAGCTAAATAGACACTTGGTCCTTCAAATCTTCCTGCTGCTTGCTGGCTGTGCTCTAGATTGTGCCTAAGAAGATTCTTCATTGGCTTCTATGTGAAAAGCACCTGTCTGACAATCATTGGCAGCAAGTGACAGTAGGATCTGAAGGTGGTATCAAGAAACCTCTTCAGTGCAGCAAGACTAAACTCCAGGTTCACGTCACTCTCTTCTATATACTGTTTATATATAATGGAAGTTTCTTGAATTGCAGTGCAGTAAACAATTCATATTTGAAAGCTGAGTATATAATTTAATGTGTTTTTACTGCAGTAGCTGTTTAGTTCAAGGTACAATGCTAGTTGCAGATTCTAGACTTAATTCTGATATGATTCCAAAATGACATTAGAATAAGACCAGATTTCTGTACTGTAATGTCAGGAATATTTTATAACTTCTCACTCCAAGTAAAGGAGGATGTGTTGATAGCATGTGGGGAGTTTGTGTGGGATTTGAAGCCAATCAAATTGTTTTTGGGGGAATTGGTAAAGATTTCTCTTTTCTAAAAATACTATATTTTTTATTCTTCAGCTTATGTAATTATGTATCTAGTAGCAGATCCAAATATTTTGGGAGCTACTTTTATTACTTACTTTGTATATCTTTTAAACTGCTGCAAAGCACAGAATTAGGCTTCGTTCAGACAGGTGCTGTCACCGGTCATGCTTGCAGGCTGCCTTTGTTTTGACATCTGCATCACGCTGTGTGCAGGATGTGGATGCAGCAGCTGCATGGCCCTGAACAAATACTGGGTCTGTGCAGCTGCTGTCTCTGCATTCACCTCTGTAGGCTGCCTGCATGCAGTTCAAGTTGGATGCAGACACCAAAAATAAGTCTGCACAAAGAACTGGCACCTGTTTGAAATAAACCTTTTTAGCAGTTAGGACATACAGAAGGGTTTTTGTAGTTGTGGACATTGCTTATGAACACTGTAATGCTTTTCATTCCTCAAGTTGGCCAGCCTTATCATCTACAATAGAACGCAGTGGCAGGTCATGTTGCCTTAGTCATTCTGCCAGTGGCAAGGTCAAGGACCAGGCTTAAATCCTTCAGAATGAACATTGGTAGGGATTGCCAGTCAGTCTTAAAGCTCAGTAGCATGAGATTGAACTTACCCAATAAAGAGACATTGTTGGTGGAAAATAATGTAATTAAAACAAATGCAGCATTAGAAAGTACAGGTACAATACATACAATCAGCACCTCCGTTGCAACAAATCTCTTGCAGAACTAGAACCACCACCGTAGTGTTTAGCATTTACTACTTCTGGGTGTTTTTGTCAGATGCCATCTCCATTGTAACTTTCCCTCCCAGATATTATGGGGTCAATTCACTAAGAAATAAATGCCACATGGATATTTGAGTTAAAATAACTCATGCAGTATTTATTTCAAAAGTAGTCAATTCACTAATAAACATGCGTTATTTACCGAATGCACTCAATATTTATGTTTTGTGATATCTAGCACATTTTGTGTTATTTTTAGTGTTTTTTTCACACATTTTTTTTTTTTGCAGGTTAACATTGCACCAGAATGCACACATCAATACTGTGAAACTGAAAACATTGTAGTGTGCTTTCATTTACAAAATGATCTCCCTCTGATGAAACGTTACAATTTATTTTCATTCCTGAGCTCAGAGGAGAACATTTTTACACTGATACATTGTATATACTTTTCACTTGCTGGCCAGTGCAGAGTTCCTCTAATTGTTATTTTGTACATTTCTAAAATACCGCCAGCAAACACCTGGTGATAAATGACAGATGTGTGTGTTTTTTAATGAATTGACTTTAATGATTTATCTCATTTTTTTTTTGCAGTATTTATCTCACTATTTTAACAAATGTGTGGTATTTACCTCACATCGATATTTTACTTTGATGAATTAACTTTTTTATTATCTCATGCAGTGATTTATGCAAACGAGTCACATGACTGTTATCACATGCGGTAACCTTTAGTGAATTGACCGTTCTGTCACTAATTTGTCCCTACAGCTGTGATAGGGCACAAAAGTGATGTAGTACTAGACTGGGGAGACGCATCCAACATACACTGCAAAAAAGCAAAGATTAAATGCAGCAGATGTGCTGATAAGCACAAAAACTAGACTTTTTCTAAGGCCTGGTTCACATTAGTGCGGGCACGTTTGCATGCACCTTTTCCAAAATGCATACGCATGGAAACTGCATGGTCTTTCTGTCCATGTGGTTCCTGCACCTGTGGTAGCACCGCAGTTGCTCTGCAGGATGAGATGTGTGGATGCGGGATGAGCTTCATTCTGAATGGCAGCCCCCCACCCAGTTCTCACAGGAGAAAAGTGATGCGATTGAGGGAATCACATAACTTCACGCACCTGCAAACAGCCCACAATGTGTAGGCTAGTGTGAACCTAGCCTGAAACTGTTTTTATTTCAAAGTGTTTATTCTATTACCAGGCTAGGTTCACACTAGCCTACACGTTGCAGGCTGATTACGAGTTTGGGAATCTATGCGATTCCCAGACCCACATCACGTTTCTTTTGTGAGACTAAGGGGGGGGGGGGGGGTGTGCCATTCAGAAGAATAAATGGCACTCCCACACATCTCCCGCGGTGCGATCACAGGTGTGGGAACCGCACGAAAAACTCATGGTCAAGAAGACCATGCGGTTTCTGGATGAGTTTTGGAAAAGGTACATGCATGAAATGTGGGCGCAGCAGCACATTCAAATGAATGGGCTGCCGTGCCCGCACAAACTCGGGCCCCATGGCCTGCATTAGTTTGAACCGGGTCTCAGTCACCACTGTGCAGTGCTATTATATTTATTCTATTGACACTGTCCCTTTAAGGTGATCCTGTCATCATAGTAAAATTAACACTGCACCCTGTAAAGAAAAATACATTTTTAAACCTGGGTGCTGCGGTTCATCTGCAGACCTCTTATAATGCAAATGAGTCAGTAGAAGGAACCATAGCGCTCAGCGGAGGACACCCCTGGATCTACCACACCTGAAAGTGTGTCAGCGGCCTTTGAAGCTCTTAAAAAGACTGAACAATTAGTTTGCTGTCTGTCAGGAAGGCATTTGGCTTCTTGTTTTACTGGAAGCTGTTAGTTTATTTGGTATTATTTTTAGAAATCCGACAGGATTGCTTTAAGCTTCGAGCTGATCACTGTAGAACATATCCTGGGGCACTTTTTGTGTATAGCTCAGAATTAGATTATTAGTAGCCGTTATATGCTGATGATCCAGAACAGGCCATTTAGTCACAATCTCAGAACATTGCCGTAGTAGCTTTTGGTGAATGTCTGTTCTTTTTTCTGGATGTTATCTGCTGTCACTCAGTACAGAGAGAGATTGGATACTTTTGATGATTTCTTCCCAATATCACTGGAGGTATGGCACTTGTTTTGGCCTTATCTAGAAACTGCTTTTTTTTTCCATCTTACAGCTTCCTGTCTGACCCTTTCTGTGTGCTTTAAAAATGTAGCTGTAGAGAAATAGAGGAAACTGTATTGGTTCAGAGATATATATATAGCCATTGCTGTTAAGAACGCCTTCAATTAGTGTGTGTGTTGTTGTTTTTTTTTTTTTTTGTGACATTTGTAAACAGTCTTATGAAAAATGGTTGTATATATGTGCACATTTTGAATACTAAATTCTGTATTGGACAAATAAATATTTTTCTACAGGAACCCCCGTATTTTTGCACTCTGATAAAAAATACTGAGGCAGTCGATTCCCAAATAGCTTCAGATTTATTGACAAATTGTTTTTTTTTTTTTTTTTTTTTTTTCATGCAGTTCATTCTGAAGTGCAGAAAATCATACAAGTCATTAATAAGCAATTTTGATTCTTGAACTGAATGATTCTTAGTAGACTGGACAAAAAAGCATTCATATGTTTAGGTGACTGGAAAAAAAATGCAGCTTTTGATTTTCACATTGCTACATAAAATCGCTCATATCAGTCCCTGTTCACACATAGGCTTACAAATCCCTACCACACTCATTCACACATTAGGGCCAATGTTTAATGTATAACTAAGGGCAAAACTTTTCATTTTTTTTAAATGTTTATTTTTCGACAGAAAGAAGAGGGGTTAGAACACCTATCAGGTCTTTTATAGCTGTCTTTGAGTCCCGTTAGGGAGGCTCACCCTTTTTTATTTGTTTTATTTACCATTATTACTGAATATGAAAGGACACGAAAATCCCAAATTTTAGGTTGTTACCAGAACAAGAATTGAGGGAAATCTTCCAAAGGGGGCACTAGTTTCAGTGATCCTGGTAATATCCAGGGATTTCCCCTCACTTCAATTCTCCGCAATGGGACACAGATGAACAAAAAAAAAAAACCTGACAGGGGTTATAAGGGGAGTTAGAGGTTTTGCTTTCATTTCTAGTTTTACTAAAAGCACATTAACCTGAATAATACCCAGAATGATAACCAAAAGGAAATTGCAGGACCCAAAAGGAAACCTACAGTGGATGTAGAAAAGAATGGTTCCCCCCCCCCTTAAAATGATCACATTATGTTGCTTGTCAGCTGGAAATGAAGACAGACACAGTTTTTGTTTTAAGTAGCTGTGTGTTTGCAACTTATAATATCCAAGTGAAAGATAAAACTGCAACATGTCCAACAAAATTAAAAAAAATTCAAAAACAGTTGGAAAAAGGATCACCCCCCTGTGTTAGTATTTTGTTGACCCACCTTTTGCTTTATATCCACCCTTTAGTCTGTTGGGATATATCTCTACTAGCTTTGGACATCTAGACTTTCAATATTTGCCCACTCTTTGCAGAGCTGCTCAAGTTCAGTTAAGTTTGATGGTGACCTTTTGTGGACTGCAATCTTCAAGTCATTCCACAGATTTTCATTGGTGTTTAAGTCTGAGCTCTGACTAGGCCATGCAAGGACATTCACCTATTTCTCCTTCAACCAACCCATCCATTTTCCTTCTATCCTGACAAGTGCTCCAGTCACTGCTGCAGAGAAATGCCCCCATAAGAGGATATTACCACCTCCATGCTTTACTGTAGGAATGGTGTTATTTGGATGGTGAGCTGTGTTGGATTTCTGCCAGTCATGTTGTTTACTGTAGAGACCAGATAATTAAATTTTATTCTCATCTGACCGTAACACCTTTTTTCCATGAGGCCTCAGTATCTTTAAGGTGTGTTTTGGCAAAGCTCAGTCATGACTGCATGTGGCCTTTCTTGAGGAGTAGATTTTTTCTTGCAACCCTCCCATACAAGCCACATTTAAGAAGAATTTGTGATATTGTTGTCACATACAATGACCAATCTTTGTCACAAATTCCTGCAACTACTGTCGGTCTCTTGGTAGCCTCCTGGCTCTTTCACACAGTTTGGAGCAACATCCTGATCCAGGGAGGGTCTGTGTTGTACCAAATACCTTCCACTTCTTAATAATAGACTTCACTGTGCTTCTAGGCATTAATAAAGCCTTTGAATTTTTTTTCTTAATCCATCTCCTGACTTGTGCCAGTCCGCAACTTTATCCCAGAGATTTTTTGACAGTGCCTTGCAACCAATAGTTGATTGTTTACTTCAGTTGCACTACCAAGGACTGAAATGCTCCAGGAAAGCTTTTTCATGCTGAGCTAATCAAAATGACCACAGCTGATCACAGTTGAAAGTCAAATGGCTTTGTGTGCTACACCTGATTTGAGTTTACAAGTCCTTTTTCCAACTCAATGACTCTGTTTTTGATTTTTTTTTTCTGGCATGTTAGTGTTTATATCTTTCACTTGGATGTTAAATACAACTGGATAAAACAAACACTGTGTCTGTCTTCATTCCAGGCTGCAAAGCTACAAAATGTGATTATTTTAAAGGGGGGGTGATTCTTTTCTATACCCACTGTATGTAGATATGGGAACCTACAAACTCCATGCAGATGGTGTAGATGGGATTTATAGCCAAGGCCCGGAGCTGCAAGGCTCCAATGCTAAAACAAACTTGGTATCAGTTTATGTTTGAGGTTTAGTTGACCTATACTGTGTCCTAGCTGAGAAGCATCCAGCACAATGAAGATGTTTGCTTTCCCTAAATATATTCTTTGTGTTTTAGAAATGCAGCATTATTAGTCCCTGCCATTGGTAATGTTGGCAGCTTTCCTAGACTAGTTTTAATTAACACAAGGTTTCATCGTGTACTTTTTTTTTTTTTTTTTAACCCCCTTTTTTTTCTTTCTTCCTGGTTAAGAAAAAAAGATTGTTTTTCATTATCTGATTGAGTTTAGCTCTAACTGTAACTTTATCAGCTAGATATTTTTTTTTTTTTTTATATATCTGAAAACTGAAATGCATCCTAACTGACTATTTTCCGTGGCAGGATGATGACTTTGTGGCACGGGATGATTTTGACGATGCAGATCAGCTCAGGATAGGCAACGATGGCATTTTTATGCTCACATTCTTTAGTAAGTATTTTCTTCTCACTGACGTAATGTAATAATATATCAGAGATTCCCATGCTCCAAGCACCACTAAGGCCAAATGCACAACAGGGTCATTCCACAACTCTGATTTTATTGGAGTTCAGTGATGTGATGCTTGTGTGTATAAATGATCCCTCACCATGCAGCAATTTGACATTGTCAAATTCCTGCCTTTTGTATTTCTGTTTCTCAGCCTCCTTCAACTCCTGGCCTTGGTATTTGAGGTTTTGTATAGACTTCAAAAGGCCATGACACACTACTGAGTCTGTTACTTTCAACAACTTGCCATTGAAAATTTTTTTATTATTTATTATTATACAGGACTTATATAGCGCCAACAGTTTGCGCAGTGCTTTAAAAATGAAGGTAGACATGACAGTTACAATAGAATTTGGTACAAGAGGAAACAGAGGGCCCTGCCCGTTAGAGCTTACAATCTAGGAGGAAGAAAGAATCTCAAAGACTCATGCCAGCTTCTCTTATGACATCTCCCCTTTGCTGCCCAAACCAAAGATGAGTTGCTTCACAGGTGGTCCTTTAGGGAAGGTATTTGCTTTGATTCTTCTGCTTGCATGGTGTCACTAGTGGGAGGACTGCAGTTGTAACATTGCCCTAAGGATTAGACACTTGGCACAAGCAGAAGCTTCTGCTCATAGATTGAACCCAGATGTATAGCTCTACACTTAAGAAGCAACTCTGGATTCAGCTAAACCTCCAATATAACATATGTGGGATTTTGCTGTAAATACTGTAAGTGCGGATTTATTGGTGCTGCAGACACTGCTCTGTGCATGTTGTCATCTAGTGGGGTCTAGCACTGTCTACTTATGTAGGATGCGATACAAGGAAGATAGATTTGTTATATTTTGGTATGACTTGGATCTTCCACTGCCAGCAGGGATGTACAGAAGAGCAGAGGTAGCCGCGAAGCAAAACTGCATTTTTTAACTCTTCAGTGTGTTCATGAAGTCTTTTCACACTGCAGTCAATTAAACTCAATTAAAGCTATAATGATTATTTACCAGAACAATAATTTAAAATTTTTTTTTTTACTACATTGGTAAAGGTAAAGATCTTTCAGGATAAACACGTTAGCTGGATGAACTGAGCCTAGAAAAAGTAAATTTTCTATGAAAGTGCAGTTTGAGTTTAACAGGACAGTCTAAATATAAATAGTGACTTCTAAAAATGCTGTGTATTATAACTGTCACAGCTGCTTGCGCTCTCAACTGAACTGTCAAGCCATCAAATGGCTGGTGTCATAGCTGTTCACATGTGCAGCATCATGGCAACTTTAGATAAAACAGAGGCCAAGATGGCAGCTTCCTTGGCTGTAAAGGATAGAGTTTAGCTCCGCTTAACACACTAAATGATGTCTGCAAGGACATACATGGTAAACAAATTCCACAAAGTAGGCTTTCTTTTCATTTTATGAATTTTCACAAATAAAAAATATTTTTTTTTTCCAGTGGCATTCCTTTTTAACTGGATTGGATTCTTCTTGTCATTCTGCTTGACCACATCAGCTGCTGGCAGATATGGGGCCATTTCTGGATTTGGCCTGTCCCTGATAAAGTGGATCTTAATTGTCCGAGTAAGTTTGAAAATACTCTTCTGACTTTAATTAAAAAGGACATGTCATTGTGCTTTCTCTTTGAAGAATTTTTGTCTTCACTATGAATGTATAGCTTTTGTTGCCTTCCCTTGTTTTTGCTTGACAGTCCAGGGTGGAGTCCCATTGTGAGAATGCAGCTGTAAAGCTGTACACATGTACACTGTGTTTCAAGAGCTGTTAATCAGACGTTTCAAGTGATACTGAACTAAAGGGATGATGAGCTGTTCAATTTGCAGGCTTCTTCCTGACTACTGGCTAGGCTTTTTTTTTTCCGCAGGAAATAATAGCTCCCCTGCTGAACTACAGAACACCTCCCCTTCTCTCCATACCCATAGCATAAAGAAGGTGATCTGTAGTCCAGCAGGGGATAACTCAAACAGGGCTGTCAACACTGTTTGGAATCTCAGTGACACACAGGTAAGAAGTTAGGGCTCATTGAATTTCTGGCAGGATCAACAGGTATTTTTCTATACTTGCAGTGTTTCTTAAAGAGATGAATTTTGCTGCAGAGACTTTTCATTTCATTTTACTCTAACATACACTGTGAGGTGAGAATAAGCTGAGCTAAGCAATCACTAGCCACTCTACTTATGCATTAGAACAAACTAAAGAATCTACATAACTTGAAGGCCTGTGCTGATGGGCTTTTGTTTGCTTTAGGTGGGTTTTACATTCAAGCCTATGGGAACACAAATACCTGTTCTTTATAAGTTTATAAAATGAAAAACCTGCTTGAAACAGGTCAAATGTAGGTTAAAAAAAAATATTTCATTCATTAAATGCACCTGAATTCTGAATGACCTCAGAAGTGTCTCAAACTGATGCCATTTAGAAAAGCCCAAAGCTTGTCGACAAAGGCCCTTGCTGCCTTTCTGACCTAAAAAGGCATGCATTACTCACAGAGACAGTTAATGTATTATAGCTTAGCAGCCAGTGGTGCTGGTAATGTATAGTACAAACAAAATAATAATAATAGTAAGTTCACCTTTATACAAAAAATAATAAATGCACATTTTTTTTGCAGGTAAAAAAAATGTGCATTTAACATTTTATGTTGCAGGAGCCTGTAAAGTATTGCACCAGCGATCAGCAGATTGCTGGTGCCATGCAGGTCTCCTACAGATTTGTCAGCATATCTGCTTGCCCATACGGGTTGTACGGGCAAGCAGATATACTGACAAGAAGTCTCAATGAACTACCACAGTGCTCCTCATTGAGAACTTCAAGCAGACAGCCACTAGGGCTGTTGGGACTTGTATTTTCTCATTCACAGAACACTGTGAATGAGTGACGCGGTCGGATCCCCACATGGCAATTGTTTTGGAATTTGACAGTGGGGGGGGGGGGGGGGGAAGATTTCCTGCTAGCTGTCAAAGAAGGGGCTGGGCTGATCATAACATGTTACATGTTACGCCCTTCGAATATGGGTGTAACATGTTATGAAAGGTGAACTTATCCTTTAAATAAGATATATCATACAATAGTGCCGTGTATATATCTCTAAAACCTCATATATGAATTAAAGGCATCCAAACCATGTGATTATGCAACAATGGTGAATACAACTTAAAAGTCCATAATGTGTGATTTGATCCATGCCTTTATCATTTGTCCACAAAACAGGTGCTCTTTATTGCTTATATCCACATATATTCCTATAGGTGCTCCTCCACCAGATACATACATATATACTCTAATCTCCTTATGTAACCCAAATTGCATAGGTCAAATACCACTTTTTCCCTTTTAACCTGGGCAGGTATACTGTGTAAATGACTCAACTTTCCTCCTCTCTCTGCTGCAAACAGTCTTGTCTCCTCTTTATCCCACAAATCCTCTGCATATGTAAACAGAAACGCTTGCCAGAGTGTAGTATATAAATATAGCGTGATTTATTAAATACAAAGTGCACTCACATTTAAAAGTGTCCTGCTGGGACACCACAGTAAAAAACCTTGTTATGTATTTTCAATGTGTTCAGGAATTTCCAAGATAGCGGCTCGTAAACTTCCTGTTTAGCAGCTTGACGTCATTGGCCCACTCACACTTTAAATAATATGTTGGATGCCCAAAAATTAGGGATGCACCGATACTGGTTTTTTTTATCGGCAAGTACATGTACCAATACTTTCAGTCAAGTATCACCGATACCAATGAGCGATACTTTTTGGTGCAATTTGCGTTAATGGACGCAAATTGCATCACAAAGAATAGCGTGTGATTTGAACAGGAATGTAATTCCTGTCCAAATCGCATGCGATTTCCCCAGCGCTCCTCTGTTATGGCTGGAGTTCACACAGGAGCGCTGCGGGAAACCTCCCTGCAGGCATTCCATGCTGAGTCTCAGTGGTAATAGAGGAGAGAAAGTGGTGGGGATTTAAACTCCCCGCAACTTTTTTTCCTCTCTTTGCAGCAATGACCGTTCAGGCTTAGAGGACTTTTGATTGGTCAGCAGCATCATCACATGGGCGTGCTGGCCAATCAGATGCCGTCCAGGCCCGAACTGTCATCATTGCACGGAGAGAGAGGGAAAGTTGCTTCACAGTTCTGGGGATTTGAAATCCCCACAGCTTTCTCTCTGGTATCGTGCATCCTTATCAAAAATCCCTGTCGGTAGCATTGGCTTCTTTCTACAGGAGGTAGAGAGAGCACAGTGATGACCACCAAGCTGATGCTGCATCATTGTCCAGTCAGAATTGAGTAGGAGACATAATTACAGAAGCACAGCCTAAGGCTGTTTATTTATTTATTTATTTATTTATTTTTTTCCTTAGTCACCCATCAGATGGAGGAAATCATCCCCATGATATAGGCCCCATTCACACTTGCATTCAGCTACGTAAGGCCCAGTTGGGCGGGGGGGGGGGGGGGGGTTCCCTGCAATTATCTGCAGGTGAGAAGCCCCATTGAAAACAATGCATCCAGGGCTGATCATTCGCAGGTAATCGCAACATGAATGATTACATGTGAATAGCTGCGGGAGCTATCTTGGAATAGAGTTCCGTTTTTAAACTACCAGAGAGTGGGAAGTCATAAAAAAGGGTTACAATTATTGACGTCTGAATGAGGCTCCATAAAAAGTGGATGCAGGATTATAATCATACTGATGTGAATGTACAGTGTATATGTAAACTGACAGCGCTATATAAGTACCTTAAATAAATATTTAACAGCTCTTTTGGTAATGTGGTCTGAACTGCCCTCTAATGTTTGGAATGCAGATTGCAGAATATCCTGTTCATTTTTGTAAAGCCAAAAGTTTATTGTGGTGTTATTGTTATTATTATTATTATACAGGATTTATATAGCGCCAACAGTTTGCCCAGCGCTTTACAATATAACGGGAGACAATACAGCAACAATACAGTTCAATACAAGAGGGTTAGGAGGGCCCTGCTCCTTGGAGCTTACAATCTAGGAGGGAAGGGATTAGATCATAATGTCTTTTGTAATGTTAGAAACCAGATCATTATTGTAGAAGCTAGAACTTTAGTATTCTTACTTCTTTACTGGGTTAGAAAAGTATCTGCAGTTTGCGAAATGTTTTTTGTTAGCAGTACTGCTTATTCAATGTACAACTTTTCTTATTTTTGTGTACAGTTTTCTACCTACTTTCCTGGATATTTCGATGGCCAGTATTGGCTGTGGTGGGTGTTTCTGGTATTGGGTAAGTACAATGTAAATAGTTCAGTCACTTTCTAAATGCTCTTATTCTACATTTGATTTAAGCAATGGAAGCAGGAAAATAAACGATGAAGGTCTACTCACTGTCAGTCTTAGGCAGCTGTAGTCCATCCCCAGGTTGGTAGAGAAATGCAGTACCTGGAGAGTAAACATTAGGAGTAGTGGATGTCCATGTATCATTTACTGTGGCACATCAGTGCTATTTGTTGTAGGGAAACAAGAAATCCAGGAAACTGATGTGTTATAAGGAATAATATACTATTCGTGCCATTTAAAATGATTGTTCATATAAGAATGGAAACATATGCTGTGTGGTTTTGTAAATGGTTGGGCTGGTGGTCCATTCAGACTTTGATCAGAGTGGTACATGCAATCTGTTACGGCTGCTTGGAATTGTATATCTACTTGTTCTCGGTTCAGGCCTGCACTTACAATGGAAAAGGAAGTTTTTGTTTTAAAAATGCTTATTGTCTGGATATTATCGTTATCCACTGTCTTTAGTACTTGGGGAGTCAAAAATCCAGAACACATGTAGAAAGAGTCAGAACATATGTAGAAAATGTACGTCAGAGAAAAGTTAGAAGCCCTTGTCTGCTTCCAGTTTCTAAATAGAGGCCTCAAAATATTGAAGCCAGCAGGTCAGCATTAAAACAGGGATCTGGCATTTATTGAAGCAGAGGCAAGCAATGGTGGTTTCACCCATCAGCCTCTGCTATGCACTGTATTGATGTAGGTGCCAGTGAGTGGAACCACAGTGCATGTCTGGAGACGCACGCATCTAAAATAACCTGAAATATGTTGGATTTGAAGATTCTGCTGGTGCTTTTTTAGTGCAAGAGAGGAAAGATTCCCAAACGGGCTGGAGCACACATGAGTATAAATGGTATTCTTATGCAAGGTTTATTTTTGGTATTTTTTACATTTACAAATGGTGTTTTACAGAGGGTATGTCACAGCCACCTTATTCCGCATATGCGGTGGTCCAAGCTCCTGGGATCTAGGCCTAAGAATTCTGATGTGTGATCCAGTACTAGATCTCAAAATGTGTCCACTTTACAAAGACACTAGCTAGATTTTAACATTTTTTCTGTTTCGGTGAACAAAAAACATTTGGTCACTTGAGTTACAATAACATGGAATTTCCTGAATTCGGCATCTTTAATCACACTAAGCTGGCTAATATAGGGTTGTCCCGTAAGAATAAATTATCTGGCAGGTCCTAAAATGAAGTGAGGTATTTAGCCACAGAGCATACTGATTTCAGTTTCAAGATGTGTAGGTAGTGTTTGTGGGGGAATAGGTTGGATACCTGTAGAAATTCTGTAGTCAAACAGAATTCGTAAAGCGTAACTGAGCTGTCAGAAAACAGGGCGGAGAGATGAAAGCACACACTGCAGAGCTCAGTGAGGAGAGCTCTGAAAGAAGGCACTCACGCACGCACGCACACGCACACACACACACCCCACACACACCCCTGAGGCTGTCAATCACAGGGTGTGTGCTGGAGCACCTTTTTTTTCCCCTGGTGTCCGGAAAACTTGTCAGAAGTGGTTCATTCTGATAGCAGCAGGACGAGGACAGAAATGACACTTGGTGTTCTTAGTTTAGGCAAGTACACACTATAGAGGAATATGTTTTGTTCATATTTCATGTCTGAGATTTACAACCACTTTAACCAGCCTGGTAACTGTTATGAAACAGATGAACAAAAATAAACCAACAATTGAAAACTAGATGTATGCTCCTGGAAATCCCATAAACATAGTCCATGTATGTAGATAATTTGGCCTAACCAGAGCCATTGAGAAGTACAATATGATATGTAGATGTGGTCTTTAAGATTGCCTTGGAACCCTAAAGCTAATGTTGAACATATGAAACAAGGTAAAGCCTCTGGATAAATATATAATAATATTTTCTGCTCCTAGACGCTACATAGTGTTATCCTATGTGTCCATGCACACTCTTTTAGGCTAGTAGCATTTATCAAGCTTCAGTGTTTAGGAGCAGAAAAAAACATTATTTTTGTAGAGTTGTTGGGAGTGTTTTTTCCAAGCAGAAAAAAAAAACTCTGAACGCTCCTAAGCGCTTCTAACAGCTTTTTCCTAGGTTTGTTTTTCCTACATGTACTGTAAAAACGCTAATGCTTCTACATCCTACTAAAACGCTACTACCAGCACTTTTTATTCAGCGTGTTTTTCCAGTGTTTTTTGAGCTTAAAAAAAAAAAAAAAAAAAAAGCTAGTGTTCATGGAGCCTAAGCATTAGAAACATTTTCAGTATGCTTCAAGTATCCTTAATGAGTAATCAACCAGCTTTCAGCAAGAGCAAATTAGTGCTGAAGCTTTGTATAAGCCCGTGGAAGCCTGTTAGTAGCTTTTTCCAAATGACAACCAACATTCTAATTGTTTTCGATCTGTGTTTAACATCCCTGAACTGGAGCTAAAGGGGATTTTTCTGACTTCAGTAAAGCTACATAAAGCCTGCCAGAAGTAATGCAAGTACTGAAGGCACTTTGTTGGCATGGAAGCCAACAAGCTAGTATTTTCAGAAGCAGAAGTCAACATTTGCCAGCTGACATTTCTCACTAGACAAGTCTATAGAAGTTTTGTGACTTTTACAAGAGCATGCCTGGCCTTAAATGCTTGGCTATGTTCTCCTGTATAGATCTCACAGCTGACTGTAGCAATTAAGACAGTTGTATGTCTGTTCTCATATACGGTTTTCATCTTTCTAGGATTCCTTCTATTTCTCAGAGGCTTCATTAATTACGCAAAGGTTCGGAAGATGCCAGACAACTTTTCCTCTCTCCCAAGAACCAGGGTTCTTTTTATTTATTAAAGGTAAGATATTGATTTATCATCAAATGTTATACTTGGGACTTTTAGTGCATTGTCATTATAACAGTGGTTAGTGAAACTTCTTTATCCGTGAGGAGGACTCTGTACTTTTACATCTAATTTTCAGTACAGTAAACTCTTAGTTAATGTTTATTATATATCTATAACAGGGCTTAAAATTTCAAGTCTAGACCTACTAGCCAGGCACCAACCTTGCCCAGGCCCACCTCCAACCCCACCCCTGGCCTGCCCCAACCCTGCCCCCAGCCCTGCCCCAACCACACCCCCTTAAAGCTTATGAAATTACATTTTTCTTTAGAATAAAAAGTCCAAAATATAAAACTGTACACAGTAATGTATATCCCAGCTCCCCTGTACTCCATTATAGTGATATGACATGTATACAATAATGTATATCCCAGCTCCCATGTACTCCATTATAGTGATATGACATGTATACAGTAATGTATATCCCAGCTCCCCTGTACTCCATTATAGCAATATGACATGTATACAGTATGTATATCCCAGCTCCCCTGTACTCCATTATAGTGATATGACATGTATACAGTAATGTATATCCCAGCTCCCTGTACTCCATTATAGTGATGACATGTATACAGTAATGTATATCCCCCTCCCCTGTACTCCATTATAGTGATATGACATGTATACAGTAATGTATATCCCCCCTCCCCTGTACTCCATTATAGTGATATGACATGTACACATAATGTATATCCCAGCTCCCCTGTACTCCATTATAGCAATATGACATGTATACAGTATGTATATCCCAGCTCCCCTGTACTCCATTATAGTGATATGACATGTATACAGTATGTATATCCCAGCTCCCCTGTACTCCATTATAGTATGACATGTATACAGTAATGTATATCCCCCCTCCCCTGTACTCCATTATAGTGATATGACATGTACACAGTATGTATATCCCAGCTCCCCTGTACTCCATTATAGTGATATGACATGTATACAGTAATGTATATCCCAGCTCCCCTGTACTCCATTATAGTGATGACATGTATACGGTAATGTATATCCCAGCTCCCCTGTACTCCATTATAGTGATAGGACATGTATACAGTATGTATATCCCAGCTCCCCTGTACTCCATTATAGTGATAGGACATGTATACAGTAATGTATATCCCCCCTCCCCTGTACTCCATTATAGTGATATGACATGTACACAGTAATGTATATCCCAGCTCCCCTGTACTCCATTATAGTGATATGACATGTATACAGTAATGTATATCCCAGCTCCCCTGTACTTCATTACAGTATGTATATCCCAGCTCCCCTGTACTCCATTATAGTGATATGACATGTATACAGTAATGTATATCCCAGCTCCCCTGTACTCCATTATAGTGATATGACGTGTATACAGTAGTGTATATCCCAGCTCCCCTGTACTCCATTATAGTGATATGACATGTATACAGTACTTACTCCTTGAGTCCCCCGTGGCGGTGGAGAGGGTGTCTCCTCTCAGCGGAGGAGAACGGACCTCTCCTGCACCTGTCCCCTCAGCGGCGGTGCTGAGGAAGCTGGAACTCGGAAACCGGAACTCGGCTTCACAATGAGGCTTGGAGCGCAGCCGCTCCATCATCTGTGCTCGCCGAATTTCTCCTCGCATTTGGCGAGCGGCTTTTTCAAGCCCTGGAATCTATATTACATAGAAATGAGTACAGCTGAGATTTCCATAAACACGAGATATTACCTGCTGATTCAGGCAACAATCTTATGTCTATGGGAGGACCCTGACCTCAACAGCTAGATGATGTCAGAGGTAACATTTGATTGAGCAGGGTAGAACAATCTGACACAATTGCTATCCTCTCTCTCCAGCAGCACCTGCAGAATCAACCAGCAATGCTTATCTCCTCCTCAGTGGCCTCTCTGTTCACTTGAGCACTAATGTTCATACAAGCCATATGTTTGTGTTCATCCACCCATCAGGTGTCTAAATTTGTATGCATGTCTGATCACCCTCAGAAATCTAGTGACACCTTTAGGATACTTTCACACGCATATGCATCCTTGCTGCATTTTTACCGCCCTTGCGGTGCGTTTTTTTTTAAAGGACGTGTAACTTATAAAGCGCACCAAATACGCAATGCAGGTGCGTTTTTTCTGCGTTTCCATTGATTTCAATGGGGAGGTGCGTTTTTATTTCTACTGAACCAAACCTGTGCAGCAAGCAGGACTTTGAAACACGCACCAGACTCCCAATGGATCAGTGTGATGAGCTCCATAGGAATACATGGTCACATGTTTTTTCTTCTGCTTTTTTTTTTAATGCAAAAGCAGAAGAAAAACAGAGCAGTGTGAAAGCAGCCTTAAAGACTTAAAGTGGTCATGTTGCAAATGTTTATAGTTCCGACTGCTGTTGAGCAAAAAAAAAAAAAACCATTAAATACTTCTCCACTGAGGAGTACTCACCCCCAAAGCCCATTGGGAAACTGGCACTTTTGGGAGTGTTGGTGTCCTGGGTTCCCTGCAGCTCCTACTGGTTCCTCCTTCTAACCCAATGTCACCACTGTAGTCACTGGGAGGAACCAGTATGAACTATAGGGAACACAGAAAAAGTTGTTACATGTTATAAAAAGGATGAAAATACTCACCTTTTGCTGGTGTTGGTGCCAGCTTAAGGAAGTGCAAAATAGTGGATCTACTGAAAAGATTGAGAGGCAGAGGGAGTAGTTGCAGCGGGAGTTAGAAACACAAACCTGCTATGTTAACGCTAGTGACAGACTGCATCATACATGTCATTTTTGATTTTGCCCATAGTTATGCTTTAATGTATGTGGCAAGTTTAGTGTCCCTAAGATCAAGTGTATAGGTTGGTTACAACAGCTGAAGCTGCAGTAGAAGTCTAGGATATAATAACATTAGCACTCATTGGAATATGTACTGTAGGTAGAGCCATTTATTAGATTAGTGTTTAGTGACATCCATTTGTACACTTGCTACTTACAGTATGTATGTTCTGACAAAAACTTTTTCATGTGATCTGAAAGGCCTGTAAAAGAAGGCAAGTTTAATTTAGAAGGTAGTGGGGGCTCACAACACGAATGGTTTGTCCAAAATTGCATGTGTGCTAACAAAAAGTATAATTCTTGAAGATGGCGCACTAGTTCAGCGATCTGTCATAGTGGAGTGTTGGTACTGAAAGTGCTGTTTGTACTTTGGCTCACGTCCATGGACAGAGAAGTCGTACTTTGCCCTTAAATAAAAATCCTAGTGCACAATATAATTGCTTTCTAAATTTGCTCACTCAATACAAGAAGATTAAATAGAAATATGACTCTATATTCATCTGTATTGGGCAATAGCAGTCAAGATTTAGCAATAGGGTCAATTTAATATGCCTGAAGACCTATATAAGTAGCCTGCAGTACCTTTTTGGTGTGGTGGGACTTTTGGTGGGAAATCAGATCCACTGGCAATAGCAATGGCTTTGACCTTCAAACTATTTCTAACAATTAAAACCTACATAATACTTTCTAACAATTAAACCCCATAATACTTAGCCTAAACGTTTAACTTAACCCTGAACATGAATACTTCGGTAACAATAACACCTAAACCTTTAAAGTGCCTAACAAATTCCTATTCCCTGACCTTAATGCTAATATTTGCTGTAATAGTTGATAATGGGGAACTGCTGTATGGTTAAATGCCAAAGTCTTAGCCCAATAGGTGCATGTGGTAGTGGACCGCCTGTGTACTTCTGAGATGTGCTGAGCTCAAAATTCAGAATTAGGCTGCAGGGGTCCTCGGGAGGCTTATTAAGGCCTTATATTGCAATAATATTGTTAAGGCCACAAGAAAGGCATTTGTCATGCATTTGTTGAAACCTGTCAAGTTGCTAAAGAAATAAAAATGCAGTTTACTGTAAGAGAAGGGATATTACCTTAGATTGTATGCCCCTTGAGGGTTAGGGACTGATGTGAGTGTACAATATATATATGTAAAGTGCTGTGTACATTGATGGCGCTATATAAGTACCTGAAATAAATAAATAATATACTCCCTTTTCTGTTAAGGACTGCCTCCCCTGTGTTTCAGCGCTGCAGCCTCCAGCGGTTTTTGTTCTGCATTCAACACGTACTGTGGTTCCTTCCTTTGACTCCTGAGTCAACATTGTGTTCTGGATTAATGCAGGGGTCAGAGAATGGAAGCAACTTACACTCTTGGAAGAGTTGAATGATAAAGACACTTTGGGAGGCTGCAGCACTGGAATGGAGGTAAGGTAGGAGTCCAAGGCTGCCAGAGAGGAAAATACCTCTTCTTACAGGTAGCTGCTATTTTAATTTTTTTAAACTCCTGACAGGGTTTCTTGAAACATTATACCCCTAATCTAACACTTCGAATTAACCTAATCTTAACAGATACACACTCTCTCCCCATTCACCTTTTAACCTAACCCTAATTAATCATTATCCCTTAGCCTAATCATAATTTAGTTCATAACCTACTTTTTAATACTAGATTGACATCTAAAAATGTGTCCTTCCCTAATTGACACATAAACCCAACATTCACACATTGAGATGTACCTACACTGAAAATGAACATACTTTGGCAGGCTTTGGTCATGGCAGGATAACGAAGAGTTTGGCGCAGTTGTCAAAAGCTGTTGACTTAACATCCTGCCCTGCTGTAAAATGTGATGTTTCTTACATCAAGCACAACACAGTGACAGGGACAGTGTATATTGGGTAGTTAAATGACATTTAGTATTTTGGCACTTCAGTTGTCTTTTAAAATCTGCCTTTTTTTTCCAGTTGTTTGCTCCCCGCCTTCCTGCCTCTGCAAAACTCCCTTACATGTGGACAGACTGCATGGACACCTGCAGGAAGAGACTCAGTTTTAAACACCGAAGGGAAAATAAAAATACCTGCTTCATTTAGAGATGAAACAAAAGAAGCAGACAAAAAAAAAAGTTCAAGAAGAAAATAAGCATTT